AAAGTCTATTATGTGGGTAACTGTATTGAAGATAATTGGCTGGGCTTGGGGGACACGACGCCTGTCTGTTCACTTCCAAATCCACGACATAATGAAATAGTGCTGGGCATCTAGAGGCCTGGAGGTATAATGTAACGTCCTGCTGGAACAAAAAGGCGACTGATAATGAATTGGTACTGATGACGTATTTCTTATTAGCGATTCGTTCGTATTGAATCATGTTGCTATGGGGGACTTATCAATGCAATAACGACTTCGATGACAACGTTGGCGTTCAGTAAGTAGTTTGAGGTCACGTTTTCTACAAACGTGACGCCTTTTGATAGCACCAGTTCTGCTTACATAATAAACGGGCCTACGTGGTACTAGGGTAAATAGAACTATTTTTTTGTAGTCTTTTTTCTGAAACTAGACATGACTGGTTTTCAAACTGCTGACTCTGTTGTCATGTAGTTCGACTAACAGAAAAAAAATGTATCGATTTATGTTCCTCCGCAAAAATTTTGATTTTGTTGAAAAATTGCTACAAAAATTCCAGTTTTTACATTTTACAAAAGAGGTATAAAATTTAGCAAAGAGATCAGCATGGGAAACATATTTTGAAACAACCGAGACTTATACTATTTTTTTTTAATTAATAGTTCTTTTAATATAAACTGTGCATCTATAAGAATTGTGATGTGAGCAAAGAATATTTCAGGAAAATCCTTGATGTACAGATTTTTCCCAGTCGGCTTAATAAACACAGCCTTTAGTGTACCGAGAAAAAACCCGAAAGCAGTTGGTAAAAAGGAAGTTGCCTTAAATAGAATGACCAGAAATTTGGAATTGAAAATCCTACTCGCAACTTAGAAGTATTAGCTGAACTATCCGATAGCGTCCAGAGCATAGCCCTATTTGTAAATGACATCTATAAACCTGCCTAACATGTGGCGTTCTACATGTGTACAATGTATATTAATAAATAATATATTATTTAGACATTTAAATATGTGATGGCACTCAACTACAGTAAAGTCTGGCGGAAGCAATGCCAGGATATTGCATTATTTCTCGTAGGCGTCATTTTGCCCTTTTGAAGAAGGTAAACTTTATGAAACGTTCTATTCACTTTTTGTAAACACTATTACTGTAAGCATTGTGCACGCTTTCTGCCTATCGCTTTGGCCTATTACTAATAAATTTGCAAGACGCCGGTTTAATCAGGGGCATGTCAGCAATATTTAGCTTCTGCCATTCTTCCTCACAGGTTTGTTGCTTCGAGGAAATCTAAGAACACTAATGTCAGCGTGAAATGTTATGCACACATGATCTTCGACGGAACGTTCGTCGTGCTCCGATAGCTTGAAGATCCCACCGGCGTAAGCCACTCATCCATAAGTTTGCAGTTGTTAGAAATTCTCAACTCTCTACTTCCTATAGATACCCTGCTTCACGGGACTACTTCAGTTGGCCACACCATCCTAACCGCGTTCAGCCATCCAATCGAGACTGGACCTCGTATCGCGTCTAAGATTGTGAGCCATTTTTACCTCATTCGCTCCGCGGCACCCGATTCCAATACAATTTGGTGGTGCTAGAGCAGAGGCACCAGCACTGGGATGCGTGTAGTCGTTGCTCCTCGGCAGTGTTCTATACTGTCCTAATTCGTGATCCTACCCTCCTTCCACCCGACGCACCGCTTACCACCTTCATCTTCAATCTTTCCTCGGCTATTTGGCCCCAGAGCAAATGCGTCTAGCTATTCTCTCTGTTTTCTTCTCTTCTCTGGAGTCGCCTTAAGGCCTAAAGCTTCCCTTTTTTTCTTCGACAAAAGCAAGGGTCTTCCATGGAACAGCCTTCTCTCTGGGTTCTCTACTGGAGAACTAAGGCAAGTGGGCTGTAGGGCCCCGGCCTGATCTGCCTGTTTCGTAACTGATCTAATCAACCTTTATCGTCCCTTCCATATGCTTTACTTAAAAGCTGGTACTGACCCGCTCATCTAGCATGCCCTTTCTTTATGGGCTTAACGTTCGTTCAATGATATTATCACTCATCTCTTCTCTAGCGTTATCATTACTAAACAGCATCAGCACACTGTATCTTATCTACAATGCCCCCGAGGGCTGCCCATTCAAGGATGCTCCTAGTGGCTGCTTCTTTAGACCCTCTTATCCGATCCCGACCGCTTGAAGACGCTTGCACAACGTTTGTGGCAACGAGCCAAGAAGTCAGGCGGCCCCTAAAGGCAATTGCCTATTTATGTATACGGGTGTCTTCATGTGTGTATTCCGTTGCTGATACGTCGATAATTCGGCGCTGGGAAGTCAAGAGAAGTTAAGCCGCGTCAAGACTTGAGTAACAGCGTTTAGCGAGAGAGTCAGTCGATTTAGACTAGCGGGCGTTTCTCACCCCCTTGTGCACTTATGGGCAATTTCTCGTTAGCAGGTTGTTTTGTTACAGCGTTACCTCGATGTGCCCGTCCAGAGAAAACTGCATAGCTTTCCTTGAAAATCCCTATATACTCCATGGTAGCTCTTCGCTTCTTATGTACTATTGTACTACACAATCTTAATATGCGCCAGTGTGTACCCATGCCGGTTGTGGGATAATGCGGATGGAAAACTTGCCGCTAGCAAAGCCCTTTGCTTGAATGCTCTGCGTATGTATACATCTCAATATCCCCGGGGGGTGTCGTCCATTGACAGTAAGTCGTTTCGGAAGTGTTTCACGATGGTAAGAGCTAAAAAATAAAGTGTTGAGGTACGAAAAGGCTGCAGTGGCATATGTAGTAGCGTATATATGCAGTTAACGCGTATCATTTTTGGTAAACATGCGTCTATCGGGGTCTTTGGCATTTGCACACCGTTTTTGAGCTAAAAGTACATTCTATCACTTGATATGACAATGCCCTATATATGTATGTCTATATGTATATGAGTGCCGGTCTGATTCAGTTGCCTTCTCGACAGACCGTCCTGAGGTGACAGCGTAATACACGCGGTGCAATGCTTATAGGGCAGGTTTATTTTTTGAGAAAAAAATGTTTTGTTTCTATATAGCGAAGGCCAATACATAGTAAGTTACCTAGTCCTCATGATAGCTCAGTAGGTAACGTATTTGCGTGCTAACATTAGGGATACGTTATAGTCTAAGGTTCGAACCCGGGTCTAACCATGCTTCGTTTCATGCTGGTGAGCAGGTGTATGATGGAATGCCAAATGAAGATAGGAGTATTGTTGAATTACATACTCATATTTAAATTTTATTATAATGATACTTCGTGCAGTTTACGCGCGAAACATGCCTTGATATTATCTATTTACCCCATCAACGTGTTTTTCATTTACTTCACATATGACCAGAGTTCGAAATGTGGTCTATTTTTACTAAGCGCAGATTTGAAAACCTAGAAATTGTTTGAGCGTCAGTTATGCTAAATGGGATCGATAGCCCACGCTAGCGTGTGTGCTGTTACGCGTCAACAGAACACCCCTTAGAAGACCCCCTAGAAGCGGAGCGTGCGTAGGCTCTAATTCACGTCTTAGAGCCGAACGCTACGTGTTCAGTTCCATCGAGTTGTGAGGACGCACGATCGTGGTCGAAAAGTGGAAGCGGCAAAAGAAAAATTGTGCAGGCTTAAATCAGCACCACGGGAGATAGGGAGCGGTAAATTCGAATATACAATGGAAAGAATTTAGGATTGCATCCGAACGTCTCCTACTTCATTATGCCCTCCCAGTACAGCTCTTTCCGCCTTTTTCCCTTAAAACCCTAGAAAAGAAGGTTCGTTTTTTGCTCCAGGCAAAACGCCCCGAATGGGTCATCAATAGCCCATATAAATAGGTGGGGTCATCAAATGAGAAGAGCCGTCATCAAAAGAAATGAGCCGTTTCTTAAAAATGAAACCTCGATGTTTTTTCCGCCAGCAGGCGAAGCACCTTCTTTTACTACGCATATATTCATTTAAGTTGCCTATAGGGTGTAATGCAGACACGCTAAAATCGGTACGTCTATGTGTCATCCAGTTTCTTGTAAGAGATACTGTTCGTGCTCGCCTTATTTACTACTTGTATGGATTAGTTTTATTTTATTATTAAGCATTATATTGATAGATAATAGTTACGTTTAAAAGAGATCAATTAGTTACTTAGCTTACTTCAGTTATGCTTCCGCCATATGGAATGGATTTAAATAATATTATTATCTACATAAAAATAAGCACGCGGCGCCTGGGAAGTCCATTCAGTATGTACAACGTCTATTTTCGCTATTTCAAAAAGCCTATTTTCCCATTAGTGCTCTATACATCGTGAGTATAGTGAACCATAGTTGATCCTGCATGAAATTTGGCAACGAAGCTTTGTTTTTCTCCATGTATATATTGATAGAGTGTAAATGCGGGTGCACTGCCTTGGTAGAACCACCTGAAGCACATATTCCATACATAACTGACGAAGTATATCAAACCATCTTAAATTAGAATTAAACATAATGCAATATCTACTTATTCTACTATATACTTGTATAATTATAGTCTCATTACGACACATAATGATTGAGGAGAAACCGCTACTTTCCCTTATTATTTCTCTCATAATCTTTCGTTTATTTCTAATCATCATGAAGGTCACATACTTCGCGTGTACTCCCTCTCTTTATACCGCTTTATCATCGTTTTACTCATCTTCTTTTTCAACTGGAAAGATTCCTCTTTTTATAGCCCACTTTTGCTAGCACCATGTCTCATTTCGTCGTCAGTCTTCATTTCACGCTACCTCTCTTTCTTTCCGTCTCGTCTGCCTGCCTGCTTGTTATGCATAATGTCGGCCCCTATTTATTTGCCTTACATATATCCTTTTTCTATATCTAATATATGTTATA